CTCGAAATTTCGCCTTCATATATATATATATATATATATATATATATATATATATATTGTCCGTAACCAAAGCCTTAGCTACCATGACAGTCCGCAGTTTTCTTTCCTAGTGTGTCAATGAGAAAAATACTAACTCAAGCATTTGGACGGTGTTCGCAGTAAGACCGATGAGACCTTTAAACTCCGCCTTTCCAGTGAACTCATCAGCAAATTTTTGGCTCGCATATTCCCTCTTCCTGACATTTTCGATGATTCCGACGCCACTACCGCATCTAAGTACTGTGATTGGGTGCTTGTCCTTTAGTCGACTGTTAGAATGATGAAATAAAGTCATGAGCTTCTCCTGAGCCTGTTGAATAATTAGACATTCATATTTCTTCCGCACCCGTCGAGGGCGTGGTCTGGCGTCATCCCGCTTACGACGAATTTTTTCCCTTTATCATAGTGATCCTCTACGTTAGCTGCATTTTTTATTTTTTTCGTTCATAGCTGTTAAGGACTCGTGTTAACTGGACAGAGCGACTAATGGCTTTTGGTACTGTGTACCAGATAATAAAACCGAATCATTCCTCATCATGTTAAGACCTGAATTTCCTATATTTTTTCGGGCTTCCGTTCTCTACCGGTGTTAAGGATAGTCTGAGTAATCCCACGGGAATGTGGCGTGGTCATTTTTCCCCGAGATGTGCTCTGAAGTCAACCTCGTTAATGTTGGGAAGGCCGTTAGTAACACTGGCCATAGCGATTGGCTCTCTAATTTTCTCCAAATATCTGTGATTTATTAACATCCGGTGCAAATGGGAGTACAAGGATGAGGACCATTAGCTTGTACTTAAAGAAAATAGACGTGCCATCGTCTGACAGATTAACCTAATCGATTGCGTGCCCGGTTGATTGCCTAACAAGAACACCCGTTTGGTGGCTAATCACTCCCTTTACGAAGTGGAGCGGCCATATTCAGCTTAACTCGGCTAGTTTTGTGGTCCGTAAATTGTTAAGAATCCTGGTGTTTGAGAATTTTTCGCATTTATCTTTATTTAAAAAGGATTCATGCTCGAGGCGCGAAGTGTGCCTTCAATCGTCTGCAGAGGCGTTTGATTTCAAATTTGTGACTTCGTCCATTCGGACGTTCTTGGCGAAATAGTCGGTATTTTTTTATTGAAATCCTGACATCCGCGCCTTCGGCTTCAAGCCAGTTTTCTGCTATCTCAAAGACGTTGGGGCTTCTTTCCAAAACTATTATAATGAGGCCATCAATTCTCGATATTAAGCTTTTGGGTTTGGTGAACGCAAAGCTCAGTGTGGTGTAAACATCTCCACTGCAAACCATATGCCAGTTACGGGAGATCTAACGTGTATGCCTGCTTGTGTAGAATGAGGTGAAATGATGCATATTACGTCTCCGTTGTAATTGTAATTGCCTGTTCCCAGAGAAATAACGTCCAAAATATGTGATTTCTTCACTTATTATTCTCGGATTCATATCACCCAGCCCGGATCTTTGACGAGCATCGTCCTTTAGCCCTCCCCAATTCTCCTGCTTCACCGGTGAAAAATCCCGTTAAAAAACCGTCAGATTAGCTTTTCGAGTATGGGTTTTCTGTCTAGCAGTAGCTGTGCTTGCCCATCATTTTGGAGGAAAACTGTTGATAGTCTTGATTGGTCCGTTTACTTCTTGAGCATTCGTTTACGCTCACTCGAAAGGCCTTTAGGATGGTGACGCCATCGTCATTCTCTAAAGTGGATTCGAAATCTTCCAGGAATATTTTCTTATCATGGTACTGTCCATCCTTTGAGGCTTCAAATGCACATTCCGGTGTAGTTCATACGATGGTGTATTTACCGACGTCTACCGAAGACCCCGCGACCTGCTTTGATGCACGGAATAATTATACGATTATTCGTGCCGTCCTTTTTTCCATTCAGAGAGGTTTGTCATAGAACAGATATCCCACGTGCCTGAGCTTGCCGAGCTTTCTGCATCTGTGACTTCCTTTGACCGTGTGATATTGGTATTTATTTTCTTTCTTATTGACGCCCCGACTTATTTCGTCCATAGAGGTGCTCTGGAACACTTTTGGCCCTTTGAGTTTCTCTCAGGTCGTCTTTCTACCACTCAAGAGAAAGTGCGTGTTTGCGCTAAGCTGTACATGCACGCTGTGTTTTCCTAACTATAAGATACAGCCAAGGAGGCCCTGGTGGCTTACGTTTGTTCTTATCCTAGACTCATGTTGTCATCGACGTTTTCCATCCTGGCTCAGAACAAGAAAGTCATATAAGTCCTTCATGCTAATTTTTAAAATATTTCATCTCCTTCCCAGCTTCTGTGAATTCCTTAATGCAAAAGTTTCTTTCACGAACTTGGTATTCACCAAGAAGACCGGAAATTTAATTGGTAGCAAAATATCCCATACTATAGCTATTTTGTCAACGTCTACTTTTTGTTCTTTAATTTTTGGGCTTACCGGCCTGGAGCGGTAATGCGCGGAACCCTTCTCGACCTACCACCCAGCAGTGTACGCTTGAATCCGACTCGGGACGGACAATACGCACAATGGCCGACGTCGAATATGGCAAAAATTCGACTCCTATCACTAACTGGGAAAACTTGTGAACATTTTTCAAGGTGAAGGACAAAATATTCAAACAGATTAACGGTGCAAAGCAAATAGCAAAACGACTCAGTTGTTCTTAGATTTGAAAGAGCCGGTAGGACTGATGGTGAAAAAGCCGCCAGGGAGCGATTGATTATTTCCTGGATATCAACTGTTCCGCCGAGACAGAGAAAACAGAAGGGGTGGAGGCATAGTAACATTTGTTAAGAATGGCTTGCACGTTTCAGAAAAAACTGCCTAACTGACTTGTAGTACCGAAGCATTATGGCTGACCATAAGGGCACCGGGCTCTCAAAGTCTCGATATCTTGACAGTATATCTCCCCCCGAGAAATGACCCTGACGCTGATGCCCAACTGCTGGAGGAGCTCAGATTATTTTCAACGCGACCGACTACTCTCATCGTTGGAGATTTTAATGCACCTCACATCGACTGGAGCTCGGCCTCAGCCGACTGCTCTGAAGCAGCATTTGACCAGCAGCTACTGCGTACCTCCGACAACCTGCTTCTCACACAACACGTAATGTTTCCAACGAGAGTTCGAGAGGGCCAACAGATGAACTGCCTTGATCTTGTGTTCACCAAGTCGTCTGACAACATCGACGTTGTGAATTGCCTCCCCCCGTTGGGTCAGAGTGACCATGTAGTTCTCATGTGGGAATACACATTATTCTCCCTGGCTGCACAACCGCTCGATTCCCGACCTAATATTTGGCGCGGCGATTTCGAACAGATGAAAAAGGATCTTAGTCCTATCGACTGGGCATCCACTCTCTCGATAGATAGATAGATAGATAATTTTTAGATAGATAATTTTTATTAAAGACCCGTCGGGGTCCCATCAAAGCAAGTTAAAATAAATTTGCATGCGAGTTTTAGACGAGGTAGGCTGAATCTTTACAAAATGCAATTCATAGTTTCTGAATTAGAAGTCCATTGAGAAACATGAAGATTGAGGGGTGAAAAAAACTCCTCGGAAAAAGTTAAAAATGATTGGATTAATTTTACAATAGAAAAAACCCCTCTCTCCGGCGATGTCGAAGAGGCTTGGTGTCAGCTCAAAGAGTTAGTCCACAACCTCATCTCCAACCACTGCCCAATCATGCGCAGAAGACTAACAAATAGACCTCGCTGGTTGACTCCGTCCTTAAAGAAGGAAGTTAACAAGAAGCGGAAGCTATGGAAAAGATCGCTGACGGATCGCACGCCAGAATCCCTAAGCAGTTATAAGTTACAGAAAAATCGGGTCAAAATTCTCATCGCCAGAGATAGGAAAGCTTTTGAAAAGAATCTTCTAGACCGTGCCATGTTTAATCCAAAAATCCTTTACAGCTACATAAGACAGATCACACGGAACAAAGATCCTGTCCCACTGCTGCGAACGGCTGAGGGTGTGGAAATCTCCGATGACAAGGATAAGGCTGAACATCTCTCTCAGTTCTTCCGATCAGTCGTGACAAGTGAACCTGCTTTTTCCTCACCCGCTTATGAAGACGAAGAAACGCCTACCCTCGAAGCCGTTTTCTTCACCGAAACAATTGTTCGGAATGAGTTACTACACCTAAAAGAATCTACCTCCCCAGGCCCTGATGCAATCCCGGCCAAGCTGCTGAAGGAGCTAGCTCCCGAAATGTCCCAGCCGTTAGCCTTGATCTTTCAAACGTCATTCGTTACTGGATGCCTGCCCTCTGACTGGAAGTCCGCTACCATCACTCCGCTTTTTAAGAGTGGAAGTCGTGCGTCTGCGAATAACTACAGGCCAGTGAGTCTTACGTCCATCTGCTGCAAAATCATGGAGAAGATCATTTTGAAGGCCTTGGTGCAGTTCCTCGAGCAGCACCATCTCCTTTCCGATGCCCAACACGGCTTTCGACGTGGTAGGTCCTGCCTCACGAATCTGCTCTTTACGCTTGAACGCTGGACCAAAGCACGTGATGAAGGCAATGTGGTGCACGCCATCTACATCGACTTCAAAAAGGCTTTCGACAGCGTTCCTCCCCAACGTCCCTTGTACAAACTGCGCAACGCTGGAATTCTTGGACGCCTTCTTGTATGGATCCAGAGCTTTTTGGCTGGACGGTCCCAAAGAGTGCAGGTCGGGCGTCAACAGTCCTCAGATGTAAGCGTGGTAAGTGGCGTCCCATAGGGCTCAGTCTTAGGTCCCACGTTATTTCTCGTTTTCATAAATGACTGCGTCAAGGACCTAGACTGTGATGCCATCCTGTTTGCTGACGACATAAAATTGTGGAAAGTTATTCACAATGCGGCAGACGCAGACCACCGGCAAGCAAACTTGAACAGGCTCGAAGACTGGTCGAAGCGCTGGCTTATGCCCTTCAATGTAAGCAAGTGTAACTTTCTTCAACTCGGCGGCTTCAGAGCCCCCAGCCCCAGGACCTACTTTCTACACGGCACACCACTGCAACAGGTTGACAGTCAGAAGGACCTGGGTGTATGGATTACATCTTCACTCAAACCAACACTGCACTGCGCGAAGGCGGCTAAATCGGCTACGGCCACATTGCAACTCATTAGGCGAGCATTTATGGGGTTTGACCCTGACTGCTTTTCCAAAATATTTGGCACCTTCGTACGACCTCATCTAGAATACGCCATACAGGCATGGAGACCCTGGACTGCCAAGGATTATACCGTCTTGGAGAAGGTTCAGAGACGGGCGACCGAAATGACACAAGGTCTGGGAGGACTGCCCTATGAAACCAGACTGTCAATCCTCAACCTGTTTCCCCTTTCCTACAGGCAATTACGTGGTGACCTTATACTAACACTTCGCATCATCAACGGCCTAGACTGTTGTTTAGATCCCACTGATTATTTCACACAAGCTAACACGCCCACTTTGCGCGGTCATCCCCTAAAACTACGCGCAGGGAAATCAAGAATCAATGGACGGAAGTTCTTTTTCAGTAACAGGGTGGTTGCAGCGTGGAATGCCCTGCCTACCGATGTTGTAACCTCCCCCTGTGTGAATTCCTTCAAGTGTAGACTTGACATGCATCAAGCTTCCCAATTACCACCGTCGCATCCACTCACATAACCCGGTACCATATTATACGTGTTTATACTACTTGTAATTAGTAAGTTAATGATTACTCTTTTTCGACTAGCTGTCAGCTGTCCGTGAGTATGTACAAAATCCCTTTCTCACCTTCCCATTTATCCCTGTTTTTCTCCGACGACTTGTAACCAATAGGGAGTTCAAAGGCGCTTGCCTATATTTCCCTTAAAAAACTGATACTGATACTGATACTGATACCGTGAATCCTTAAGGGGGAAGTCAATGCTTGGTCAAATACATTTTTTACTCCGCAAGTTGCAACAGCACCCAGTAAACCGAATACTCGGAGAAAGTAAATACATTCGAGGTCGAAACTTCGAAAGGCAAGCTAACATACTTTTCTAACATTCAGAAAAGCATGCCTCTCGAAGTCACTGTGAGAAGCCGGTGACCACTCGCTAACTGTAAAATGGAAGCGTAGGCGAAGATTGGAAAGTGTAACGAAGGTTTGATGGCAATTCAGAAACGCCGTTGTACGCCAAATCAATCCTTAATACGCAATTATCTGTTCCAAAATTACAAGAATTGGCGCATGGAAATGGTGCGAACGCTCCGCGTGGAGTATGAGCTGGACAGTGCTAATGTAGGCATCGACATCATCTAGCCGATCAGTTCAGCAAATATATGCTAAGAATAGCGAAATTGAGAAATTCCAGTTGATGAGTTGAACAAAAATATGGGCTCGCCGCAAGGGGTTAATTTGGGTGCTGGCGTCTCGAAGAGCTTGGTCGGTTCCCAATTGTCAAAGCCTAAAATGCACTTGATCAATCAGAAATTGCAGGTGATATGCGCGTTATTCGGCTTCATGCTGATGGATTTTTCTCTTATCTCGCTGCCTCAGCCACTCGGAGGATGGTTAGCGGACGTTTTATTTGCGTGATTTGTGAGTCACAGCTTTTTCAGGGAGAGGTGATTGCACCTTCGTCGGGCGGTCGGTCTGGTGGTTCATCTCCCTCGCCGAGTAGGCGCGCCGTCGGCCTGTCTATATATGGCCTTTTTAAGTGCAGTGTGGTTACTTGGTCCTAAGCCCGACGGACGCGATAACGTAGGACTTTGTAGGCTGCAGGAAGGTCCAGATGCCTGTTGATAGAGTTGGCATCGGAGCACCAAGCCTCGAGCGTTAGCCGTCTTGCTTTGGCATTGTCTCGGCCTAAGATTGTAGCTCTCTGGAGATCGGATGTATGCCCGATTTCTCCAACGTGCGTTACTAGTTGAAAATTTGAATCTAGCCTCGATTTCTGCTCTTGTATGCGTGTCTGTCGTTTCCGTTCCGTTTCTCAACCCTATTCGCCCTTACCTCGATGACACCTTCGTCGTTATCAAAACAACTGACAGTGAGCACGTAAAATAAATTCTGAACTCGGTTGACCCGGAAATCTAATTCACAAAGGAAGCCGAAATAAATATCAAACGGCCCTTCCTTGACATGCTTGTGCACATGGACAAAAGTAGACCACAAGTATTCAGAAAATCCACTAACACGATTCAACTCCTACACTTCAATACCGATCACCTGCTTCTTTTAGCAATAAGCTACTGGACCACACATTCGATCTCTTTTTGGCGCAGCATGTGAAGGTTCAAACAAGGTACAAACACCTGAATAGAACAGGAGGCCAACCTAGTATATGGAAGGCAGATTTTAACACGATGAAGTGCGAATTGATGTCCGTGAATTGGAACCAATTACTCAATGGAGATCCGGAGGATGACTGGAGATCTTTTAAGACGATTTCATTCGATCTGATTCGGCGCTGTTGTCCACCTAAAGTACAAAAAACAACTAGTCGACTTGCTTGGTTAGCTAGGGACCTAAATAGGCAGCTACGAAAGAAAGGCAAAAGATGGAAAATTTTCACGGAAACTGCGTCATCAGCGCACTTCGAGGAATGTCCTCGTCAACGAACTGCAGTCAAAAATGTATTCGTCAGACACGGAAAGGGTATGAATCCAAAATTATCCGACAGGCTAAACAGAAGTCCATGATTTTATTCTGCTATCATAACAGTGGACTGAAAACAAGGGCCGGGTCGCAGTGATGAAGAATGATAATGGTGTAGAAATCATTGAGAATAGCGGGAATGCCGAACACTTAGGACAGTATTCTGCCTCGGTTTTTACAAGAGATACAGAGTTTCGCAGTCGCAGTGCCAGCAACGCTGTTGAGACCGCTGGTACCGTGCTGAACTCCATACTCTTCCCGACAGCTGTCATGGAATGGGAGCTGCAAAATCTCGAAGAAGCAAAGTCCTCGGGTCCAGACAATATACCGGCCAAATTCTTGGAAGAATTGGCGAATAAACTCCCCAAATCGCTGGCACACATATTTCGCTCGTCATTCGAATTAGGGCGGATGCCATTGAAGTGGAAGACAGCAAATGTCTTTCCGACATACAAGGATGGCGCCTGCACAAATGCTAACAATTACCGGCCCGTCAGTCTAACCTGCATCTTCTGTAAAATAATGGCAGCCATAGTTAAGAAAGCAACAATGAAGTACCTGGAACAGGACCACTTACTCTCAGACATGCAACACGGCTTCAGACAGAACTGCTCGTGCCTTTCCAGTTTATTGCGCTCTATGGAGCAGTGGACTTGCACAATGGACAATGATGGTAGGGTCGATGTCATCTACACGAACTTCAAGAATGCGTTCGACAGGGTCCCACACAAAGGCCTAATCTACAAACTTTCTGAATTTGGGATAAGAGGAAGGCTGCTGACATGACTAATATATTTTCTTACCGGGAGATCACAAACCATGTGCGTTGAGGCCTACAGGTCAAATCCTACACTCGTTCTAAGTGGTGTACCCCTAGGCACCGTCTTAGGACCGTTGCTATTCCTGGTTTACATAAACGACTGCGCCGACGACCTGGGATGCAGCGACCTCATGTTTGCTGACGATGTTAAGCTGTGGAGACCCATCAGATCTGACGCAGACAGGTATGCGCTTCAAGACAGTCTCAACCGCCTGAACAGTTGGTCAGCCCGTTGGCTCCTTAATTTTAATGTGGCCAAATGTGTGGTCCTGAGACTCCGCACAAGAAGGACCAGTAAGGAGGCCGATTCCTTTCAATACGTTCTTGGTGGTCATCACCTTTCAGATGTTGTGGAACAAAAAGACCTCGGCGGCTTAATGGTCTCCTCGCTGAAACCATCATCGAAGTGTCAAAGGGCAGCCAAAAGTGCGATAAGGGTGTTATTTGCGCTGATGCGAAGATTTTTGCAGATGGATAAAGAGCTATTCGGGAAAATCTATGGGGCATTCCTCCGGTCTCACTTAGAGTATGCAGTCCAGGCCTGGCGACCGTGGTTAAAAAAAGCTTATTAACAACTGGAAAGAATGTAGGCGATGGCTACGAAGATGGTCAAGAGTCTTCATCATTTGCCTTACGAAACCAGGCTGACGGAACCAAACCTGTTTCCTCTCAACTACAGGCAAATACGCGACGATCTCATATAAACCTACGGGATTGTCAGAGGACGTGAGTGCGCCCTAGACTATGATGTATTCTTCGAATTGGCCGCGACTGACCGTCTGCGTGGTCATCCCTTCAAACTGCAGAGGAAGCTGGCTAATTCGGACGTCCGACGGAACGCCTTCTCTCGCAGGGTCATTAGGGCATGAAATGGACTCTCTGATGCGGTGGTTCTCTCTTAAACTGTCGACTCCTTTATGTCTAGACTAGACGGTCATTTATTGAGAAACTACTGTACATATAATGGCGATTGTTTTAGCCGCTGCAGTTTGCGCCTGGCTCACAGTTACCGTTAACTTTTGAATTTGGGCATTTGCTGATGTAATTGATGATTCTATTTCTGTTTAGAGATATGAATAGGGAGCTCAGGAGCGAAAGCCTCATTCCCTTAGCAAACTTACTGACTTAAACTGACTGACCTTCTGTTTCATAAACGAACCTGTGCCCAAACTCCATTCCAAAATGTCAAAACACACTGCAGCACGCCGGAAAATAAAAGGGCCGAACGAAAGCATATTAAGAACCTCTTTGTAGCCAATGGATATTCCGGATATTCCATCGGGAAAAGGAGTCGTCGAGCGCAGATACGACGGCCAAATGAGCAGAAACCTGATGTCTGGAGGGCCATTCTCTACGTCAAAGCGGTCTCCGAGGCAGTGTCTCGACTGTTACAACCCGCCAGATTAGGCTTAGCCCACCGACCTCGGAGAAATTACGGTATCGTCTGATGCAATCTAAGGACACATTGCCACCCGCTGAAATCTCAGGGGTTGTGTAAAAAGTAAATTGCAACGAGAGCGACTAGGGTCATGTTGAGAAACGGAACGGAAACGGCAGACACGCATACAAGAGCAGAAATCGAGGCTAGATTCAAATTTTCAACTAGTAACGCACGTTGGAGAAATCGGGCATACATCCGATCTCCAGAGAGCTACAATCTTAGGCCGAGACAATGCCAAAGCAAGACGGCTAACGCTCGAGGCTTGGTGCTCCGATGCCAACTCTATCAACAGGCATCTGGACCTTCCTGCAGCCTACAAAGTCCTACGTTATCGCGTCCGTCGGGCTTAGGACCAAGTAACCACACTGCACTTAAAAAGGCCATATATAGACAGGCCGACGGCGCGCCTACTCGGCGAGGGAGATGAACCACCAGACCGACCGCCCGACGAAGGTGCAATCACCTCTCCCTGAAAAAGCTGTGACTCACAAATCACGTAAATAAAACGCCCGCTAACCATCCTCCGAGTGGCTGAGGCAGCGAGATAAGAGAAAAATCCATCAGCATGAAGCCGAACAACGCGCATATCACCTGCAATTTCTGATTGATCAAGTGCATTTTAGGCTTTGACAATTGGGAACCGACCAAGCTCTTCGAGACGCCAGCACCCAAATTAACCCCTTGCGGCGAGACCATATTTTTTCAAATTAATAAATATCTTCCAGTATATATTAAAATTGTATGAACTGCAGCAAAGGATGTATATGGAATGGCATTTCTCAAAGCAGTAGAATGCTCTACCCGTGGCGACTTATGTACCTACAATTACAGAGGCACTTAAATAATGGATACCTTTGGCGCATCAACGAACTTCTGTTATTACGTGAATCATTCATACTCTTACCAACGAAAATCTGCGTTTAAAATAATTGGCCGTGCTATTGTGTTGTTTCGTTGCTAATTCATTGAGTTGAGAGCCTACGCCAGTTTTACCTGAAACGCATCGAGCGGAAATGGAGACACTAGGTAGAAATAACTGTTTTCACATTCTGCATGTGCGACTGATCTGACGTATGAATTGTCCCTATCCCCTTCAAACTGCTGGTCGCCGATTTGCCGTGTTAAAGTTTTGATGTGCCGTTTTTTAATTCGACTTCCTTCTGATGTTCCTTTGCTCTTTCCCCATCTGCTTAGGTGTAGGTAACCGTAATTTACTTTGCATGCCACATTACTTCTGCTTTCCTACTAAGCTCTCCAGAATTCGTCTTTAGTTTATTATTCCTGGGGATTATTTTGCAGAAAGCATAATAACAGCCAATGTCTCACATATTCGAACCGTAGTCAGGAATTGCACAAACTTGTTCAGCTGACATATCGTCAAGTCCCCTTCAAACTGAGGGTTCTTGTTTAAATCGTGGCGAGCGCGGCCTCCGTGCGTGTCCGGCTTGGTGTGCGTGTGGGCCGCCATTGACTCGCATGCACGTCTGGCATCAGTCCAGTTCCGACAATTTAGCAACTGAGCAAAATGTCTTAGGATATGCTACCCTTGACGAGATGGACATTTTCCATGCGAATGACGGACGTGGGTTATACTGACTAATGACTAGGCCACGTAAGTTATCACTTGGATTGACACATGCATCATGATGACAAACATAATCTGAAAACGCAAATATTGCATTACGCCCGAAATCATGTGCGGTTGTCTTGCATGCATGTAGCCTGTCTGTCTGTGGTGCTCCTGTGCGGCGGAATGCTTCATTTGCGCATATGATATAGATTATGAGAGCTGAGTCAAGTTGACTTTGTCACCTTTTTCGGGTGAACTATCCTAAAACAATTTTATTTTTGCTAGGTTCGCCTCCACCGGTTGTTGACTACGCGCGATAGTTGAGTCGTCCAGTGCATCTGCGTCAAACGTTCATTGGCCCTCCGTATGCCAATGTCGGCTGTTGTGGACTGAAACTAATTCTGCTTCGATACTTTCAGTTGTAAAAGCATTTAATATTAATTTATTGGGCTTCTGGAGTTACTGGATGTCAAAGTCTTCTTTTATTATTAGTCATAGCCACGCTGACGTCGCCAGTATGTGCTGTGGTTTGAGAAAGCGATGTTGCAATTGAGCTTCTTTTCCAGTCCGCAGGGTGCGTGACCAAACAGACATTTCCACCGTTACGCCGGCAAGCTTCGCTACCTAGTCTCGCTCTGCTTCAAGAGCGTCTTCCATAGGTGAGGACCGCGACATTATCCTGAGGTGCCTGTTGCCAAGTGCGTCGACTTATCTCGTGGCAACAACTAATAGATGACGGTTACTGAGGGCGCTCGGCCCTTGTGTGCAACAGCATCAGCGACCAGGTACACGCTTATGTCCCACGCTCCGCCGAGAGCAGTTGTCTTCAGCCCTGTAAAGGGATTGCAGAAACGGGAAGGCGGCTGGGCTATATTTCCTTACCGTCAACCAACAGTTGTCAAAGGGCCGCTTTAGTTTCGAGTCGGATTTGTGCTCTAAACGCGAGGCTGACCATTCGTGTTTCTGGCTATTTTCGCCTGTGAATAGGGTCACCTTGCCGGAGTTCCGCGCGCCATCTGACCCATCGGTGCTGCAACCGTTGCTCCAAACACTTGACGCTGCCCGCGGTGGATGCGTCTCGGACATTGCTACGCAACCCGATGTAAGCTACAAAGCTGACGACCCGATCCCCCCGTGGATCTGGTCTAGGCATAAATACCATGGTCTGAGCACATGCCTCTCGGTACCAGTTTGTTTCTAAAATTCAAGAAACCTGGACTATCTTTGCCCACCGTTCAGTGTCCGCCGGCCGGGGAACCGCCAGTCCCAGACTGGGATCAAATTAAGGGGCTTGGCAGGTTGGTCGCCGCACAGTTGCGGGTTGGTAGCATGTGGACGCCTGCGTTCGGGTGCGGGCAATCACTGGCACGCCCTTTACCGATCAGGGTCATATCGGCGCACGGTGACGTACACATCAAGATTCGGTTGAGGTTCGACTGCACATAAAAGCTACGCTGGGTGGAGTGTGGCGCACGCGCAGGGGTGCACGCTACCCTTGCGTAATCTACGATGGTCACGATCAGCGGGTTAAGAGTGTGCAGTCCGCTGCACAAGACAACGCTGTTGCTGTGAACGATTGTCTCACCGGCCGGTTGGACACTATCACGGTCCTCTTTCTGTGAATCGGGGATTGGTGTCGCTTCCGGCGGATTTATCGCTAGGCCCACACGGTCTTATCTCGATAGCCAAGAAGGGGAGCCAGACTGCCTCAAGTGCGGGCGCGGATCCGACTGACGTTATCGGCAAGCCTTTATAGGTTCCTTGGGCTGTTTCCGCCCAGGGTTTTTCTCGCGAACCAGTCCGCTATTTTATCCAGTTGGCGAGAAATATCCGCCAACAGGCTGCTGAGACATACGGCGTCTCTAACTACACTTAAGCGAAGACACGTAGACTACACCGGACGGACCTTTGGAGATAGGTTGTTTAACATTAGTATGGCATTGGCATAAACGCCTGCGGGGCTGTCATACGTTCAGCCCTGCGGGCGCTTCGTGTATGCTGGAATGCCTTGCCGGGGCTTGTCCCCCATCTCGGACTGATATCATAAGAGAGCGCACTTCATCTCTCAACACGGGAGTTGTGCTGGCACAGCTGCGTTTCATTTAAGCGTCGGTAGCGATTATTCTGTGGATGTGGTGAGGGCCCCTGGACTTCTGCGATAATAATTAATTTAACGCATCTTTGCCGTCGACTAAATAATTCCAGTTGGAAGTAAATTGCGGTGCGCTGTCTGCTGTCAGGGAATTTTGCGCGGGCTGAACTTCAGTTTTTACATTATTAAAGGCCCCATATGTCTGAGGGGGCTGGATTTAGACCTCAGTGCCAGCCCCTGGTGGACTTTTTGATGTACATAAAAAAGGCGAAAAGAGGAGCAGGTGTCAGTTGTTACGAGAATTTTATGTTTTGACAATAAGGAAGGGTGTGCTAATGCAATACCTGAACGGCAAAGGTGCTTTACAACGAAAACGAGCCATACACACGATCGAAGATAGTAGTTATTTTGTTGCGGGACGATCACTCGACAGTAAGCCTCCTTTTGCCGTGAAGCTGTCGTTTGCGAGCCCACAGGCGCCAGAAGTCACTGCCGCGGTAGCTGCCCACGGGCACGTCGGTGGGTGGAGCGTCGTCGCAGACCTCGGCGCAGGTGCCTAGGCTCCCCGCGTCTCCCCAGTGGCAGCACATGCTTGGCGGACAGTCCTTGTCCATGAGACACCTGTTCCTCAACTGGCTTTTGCTTTGGCACATTCCCTGTGACCCTACATACACATAAACCAGCAAGGGCTCAAATGGATTCCTTGACGTAGTTTTGATTCAGAAGACCACATGGTTATATACAGCAAGTAGGCAGAGTTTAACGGCCACTCACCTCTTGTTACGCAGTACAGCCCAGGGCAGCAGTTTGTTTCGAACATGCAGCTCTCATTTTCCTCCGCACACTAAGAAAAAAAGTGACATACGTGAGAGTGAGCGATATGAGGGAGGAAGTCAGCGGTAGCGGATTTCGGAGATGAACTAGTTGCCTGAAGGAAAGTGAAGCTGATACTGTTGCGTCACCTTCCATCGCCAGTTAGCTTGGCACGGCGCGCTAGTCGTGACCGAAAAAGATCCAGAGCTGATTCGTCCAGATGGTATTTGGACAAACATCCTTTGCAGACAGGGGCCTGAGCGTGCAGGCGATTGTAGTCGCTTCCGCTGTTGTTAGTATATGCTGCCGCAGTGGCGCCAGGTAGTTTGAAATCTGCAGACTACTTGCAGGTTGTCACTGGCGTGCATTCAGTGACCGGTTAACTAGGTCGCTTAGTATAAACCTGTTGACCGTTTTCACTTTACCCCTTCCATGTTTACTCCGGAATGTGTGTTTTTGTGTCCTCTCAGACGCACGTAGGCCCGTTCGACAAAAGCTGCTCCACAGGACCAAACAAGGGGGTGAATGCATGTAAGCTTCGTCTAAACTTGCAGCTTACAAGAACAGTTATTGGACTGGGATTGGAGAACACAGTACCGGAGTTTTTGTGGCAGAGGAGACATGTGTAAGATCTTAAGCTAGGCATCTGAAACTCCTTGGGTGCTTTGCCCTGGTTGGACACTTTGACACAAATATTACTTTCGGCAGTGGTCTATTCGACTTTTGCCCTTATTTTTGTATACCTGGTTGCAAGTTCCTCTAAGGAACTGTCCTCCCAAGTGCGCATCGAACCATGTGTATTTCTCCTCGGATGTCGCCCGGCGACCAAGGAGTACGGGGCTGCTGAAGTTCGTGTCTCGTTCCTGCCATGCTTCCCTCTTATAATGATTCTCCCGATTATGCATATTGGTTGTCCACATGATCCTCTAGGCCGGAATGGGTTCATATTTCATCTATACCCAACTTGGCGGCTGGAGCACTGCGTTCGGTAAGGCCCCCTCTGATGCGATTGGAAGCAGAGATCGTGGAATTTTAGGTGGCCGGTGCATTCGTTTATCTGCAATTTTGCCGGATGATTCATTGTATGGTTAGCTAGAAGTGAAATCAGACGTAAGCCCGTGACTGTCCTGCCTACCTGTTTACATAGTTTCCCGTCAAATGTGAACCGAACGTTCCCAATACTCCTCAGTAGTTATTCTTCTAACTGGCATTTCGGTTCCCTTGTGGGGCTACGTGGCACGCTCGCAAACGTAGTAGCCAGTTTGCTTCTCGGGAACATTAACGAGCAGCGATCCAGCATCTAAAGAGAGTATGTTCTTTTCGTCGTCCTTGGGGTCTGTCCTCGACGAATTTAACGATGTCGCAGTAGTTATTGGCGCCAATCACCCTAAACTGTCGACATTTACCTGTCTTCATTTTGCTATCTTCGGGTACGACGAGGTCCCATATAGCATTTCGGACCCGCCGACGTACCACTTGTGAATAGCCAGTAGACCATGCTGTTGAGTGGTAGACGCCCCAAATTGTTTGAGACGTTCGAATTCCCGCTCCGTCCATGCTTTATAGGGACTGCCTTTGTCATCTAGGGCACCACCTTACTATGTCTCACATATACAAGTGTGCCCTAGAAATTTTAGGCCTGGCGACAATTTATTGTGGACCATATCACGAGTAGGTAGTGAGAGCTCCTCAGGAAATGATAGTGAGTGGTTATCTCCGACTCGAAGACCGCGTGAAATGTGCTTAAGAAGACTAAGTTTATGCACAACTTAAAGACCCCAATATTCTCAAATATGCAACTATGTAGTTTTCAGACGAATATTTCGTATATTAACAATCATTTGACAGGTAGGAGGATTTTGCTGAAGATTTATGGCCAGCAAGGTCACGGGAGACTGAAAACAGCCAGGTCATGGTTTGTTTGCCGTCATCAGCCAGCCATACCTCGGAGAGAACTGGGAGTTTAACTTCGGTTATCCGGCTATCGAGCGTTCGATTCATGCCTGATGACCGTACACCAGTCCCTGGGAGCCGTGGACGGCCATCATCGGTCATTTTATTTGTCTCGGAGATAAAAACAACCAATGTCACTCCATTTCATCACAAAGGCTCCTGCTGAAAAGCGATCTCACGTAACCCCAGAGGCGCTGACTTGCGACCAACGGACCAACTTCAGCCCAGACGCACGCGGGTCCAGACAGTCGAGGTCGCCTATGCGCAAATGGAACACGACACCCCTCAGCAAATGGAACATAGGTCAGTAGACACACCACCCCTTTCGTAATGCAGCACACACACACGACGATAGTCCGACCGTCTCATCCGACGATTTCCACCGTATGTCCCACAACAGGGTGGGAACAGGGACGGTGACTTGCGGCGGGGTCTATAGTGGCAGCAGAATTGCGGTGCGTCTACCACACTCTCTCCTCCTCCCCCACCTGAACCCGGTGTCAAGACAGAGTCAAGAAGACCGGAGATGAGGGAGGACGCAGGTGGATGGCTTGGACGGATCCGCACGTTGGCGCTCTACTCCGCACCCCCTGGTCCACAGAACAAACAGCCAGGTTTTTGACCAGCAACACACACGCACACACACACCAATTATGCAAAGCTTGAACTTTCTCTGCAAATCCATTAGAGCAGCCACCGCCACTGACTCACTCTTTCTCTCAGGCATGGCTTAACACCCTCAGCACACGCCCTCGCATCGCCAGTAGGCAGTGCTGTCTGAGGCAGCATCTCGAGGTTCTGCGCACAACAGATCTCAATTCTGGTGCCTTCTGTCTCTTCCTGCTACTCCAGACTAGACTTGGTGGCTATAGAGTTCTTAGTTCAACCATCACTCAAACGCTATAATGCTCTACCAGCCTGGCCACCAATCCAGCTCATGTCGTCAAGAGTGGCGTTAACTGACACACCCTACTTAGATGACGGGGTATGGGCGATTGTGGTAGGGTATACGCCAGTAGATCGACTAATAGAAGGCGTGAATCAGATGTTCGACCCACTGATTCGGCTTTCAAACTCAGGTCTGAACTTTGGACCTGGCTGACCCATGACTCGAAATATGTCCGAAATAGACAACCCAGTCTCCACCTATGTCAGTGGTAACTCGTGTTCGCTGATCCCATGAAGGTGCTCCTGGGCAAAAGTGGACCAACCATATTTTGCCCTCCACTGACAGTGAGTTAATGGAATGCATTCGCACTAAATTGATTTTCATGAAAAAATTTCAGAAATCCGACCTGTATAAGGATAAAGTCCTGTGCCTAGAGAGGTAGTCGGACCTTGTTGATTTAGAACGTCTTGTTAAAACCCCTAGTGGTCATCAGCTAATGAACCAAATTTCAAATGAATTACCTCCGCACAGAACCAAGTCTCATGGGAAATTTAACGTGGTTTGTGTGTCTGGAATGGGATCTTTTGGTCTCTGCGCAAAAGTACCCCAAAAGCAGCGAAGTAGTATATTTAGTTGCTTGCGTAAAATCAAAAGAATATATAACTGATACATTTGTCCAGTCGTACTTTTCGAATGCGAATAGTCCCCTTTTAAAATAAATTCTAAGCACATGTCTAACATGAACTTATCATTTATTCCAAACTAAGCAGTCTGTTGAAAATGGTCAATTGCACTAAAACGGACTTAGTTAAACGGAATGACCTCAGCATCCATAGACTTGCAACCTCAAGAACACGACCGCCATGTTCCTATTGGTTAATCGATTCTGCACTGTGGAAAGTGACGGTGTCGGTGCTACTAATACCTTTGGCGATCTGGTGAAATATGTATATCCATACTGCTAATGGAGTTCGTTGCGCGAGCAAGAAAGGGCTTAAAAGGCAAAGGTCGGCATCGGTCCAGGATTGGACGTGTAGAGAATGTGGTAGGGGGCCCTCACTGATCGTTCTTACGGAACTCACTCGTTCCGTTGTGTCTTACGGGCTCCGCTAATGGTTGGGCTCGAGAGAGAGAGTCCATAAGGCACGACGGAACGAGTGAGTTCTGTATGAACGATCGGTGAGCGCCCCCTACCGTTATATAGTCCCGATCGAAACCGACAGGGCAACGGGCTCGTGGCCCAGTGGTTAGAGGCGTGGACTTCTGACAGATCGCGAGTTCGAGCCTCGGATGTTCCAAACTTCGGGGTTGGGTATGACTGGCCGACGACGGCTAATAAGCCAGAAATGGTCATTCCAGCCTCCCTTGTCTTTGTCGGTAATAACATAATGTAGGGAATGTTTATCCCGACAGCAACATCAGCGGACTTGCATGCCACTGTTGGGTTTCCTCGAGCCATTTGGAATACATGTCTTGATTTTGGGTTGTGGATGCGGAGTGCATTATAGTCCGGAAATGGGCGCTCGCCGATCTGATTTGATCCACAGGGGAACCTATCTTGACCCTCCGGTAGTGTGACTGCGCAGGCGGCTATGTGTCGGACCCGACATCACTTGTCGACCATAAGTGCAGCATCTTAGCGAGTACCGGTTTGAGGTTCAGTCGTTAGTAATGAACTGCAGCATGTCTGGGTTGGAAAATTCATTACAAAATCCCCGAATGACAGCTGTTTTGACATCTCCCATGTATTTATCTTTCATTCCGCCGAGAATAGTCTGTAGAGACTTCAATGGCCCAGACTTAAAAGCGATCGCCCTATCAGATTTCCCCTCTGTGTGCACCCTTGCAAAACCGGCACAGAGACAATCTTTCAGTCGGGTACAGGTTTAGCCGGCTGGGTAACACAATTTGAAATGGGACTTTTACAATCTCTTAGTGTCTTTTAAATGTTAATTTTCCAGATTTTTGAGATATGTCCAAAATTAGATCAATCAAGTGAAAATTCTGCAAGTTGAATAAAATTACTCGCCTTCTTTCTCTTGCTTGTATTTTTAAGCATAGCAGCCGGCTACATCAGCTACAATCCGATGACAGTCTTTAAGTACGTCTGCTTTTATTGCTGTAATAGGATTTGTATGTCCACTTAGACTTCGTATATTTCCGAGAGTTTCATGATGAAAGAGGACGTCATGTCGAAGAGGAGGGGGCAAACCCACTTGTCGTGTTTCATTTCCCAGTTTTCTACCTAAGAATCACGCCTTTACCATGACCAAGAGGAAGAAAAAGTCGCCTTCGACCACTATGAACCTGCATTTTGGCGCCGGTACGTGGACGGCACGTTCGTCATAATTGAAAGGAGCAGACTGGCCGACTTCCAAGACCTGCTCAACGGCATCTTCCCAGACATTCAGTTCACAAGGGAAGAAGAGCATGCCGAACAGCTGCCTTTCCTTGACGTTCTCGTCACACGCACACCCAACGGCGAACTCAACACCACGGTGTACAGAAAGGCGACTAACACGACTCAGATTCTCAACTACCACAGTAACCACCCAATGGCGCATAAGCGCAGCTGTGTTAGGACACTCTTGCAGAGGGTAAAAACGCACTGCAGTGAACCAGAGGGACGAGTACGAGAACTTCGGCATCTTCGGGACCAACTGGCAAGGAATGGATACCCGAACAGCTTCGTCAGCCGCTGCCTCCGCACGCGCCCACGGCGAACAAACGGAGGAGAGCCGCCAACACTCTGGCACCCTTTGCCATAATTCGTGACATTTCATGAGTTAGCACAGGTACTGTAAAGAACGTATCCGAAGCGATGGAACGTATCGCTGGAGAGCTCGGCGTGGGTATCGCTCACCGTCCGACAGCGACCATGCGCAGCAAAATCATGCAAGTGAAAGATCGCCTAGACGTGGGTGAACAATCGGGCGTCGTCTATCAGATCCCATGTCGGGACTGCCCTCGTCACTACACTGGACAAACCGGACGACGACTCAGCTCACGAATAACGGAGCACAAACGGGCGGTCCGGAGAGGCGACCCGTTGTCTCAGGTCGCCACTCACACCCTGGAGGAAGGCCACGAATTCAACTTTGCGAGCACGCGGATAGTGGCGCGGGCCAGCAATAAGACAGGACGAGAACTGTTAGAGGCCTGGGTGTCTGACATCAACGCTATCAACAGGCACGTTGACATACCCCCCTGCTATCACGGGCTCCGTTCCCGCGGCCAAGGGGCGAGACCCAATTTCCAGCCAAGGGTGCACGCAGTCACGCCACCGTGAGACGGCGTGGGACGCAACTTATCGCGAATACCACCCTCTGCACTCATATCTTTCTCTCCCCCCCTCATGGCGTGACTACAAAAACCGCCCATTTTATGTTGCCTTCTCACAGTCTCTGACGATGGCCTCCTGTACGAGACCGAAAGCTCAGACTAATAAACCCACTGTCCCAGAGATCGAGTCTTCATCTTCTTTACAAGAAGAACCTGGGATTCGCATATTCGCTTCCATCCGTAAAAAGGCTTGTTTATCCTCGGATATAACTGCAGCTCATAGAGTACCCATCTATTAAGCAGTCAGATTTCATAATTTTCGTTTTTGCTGCAAAATATGGTTGGATGTGGTTATGCTGCCCCACCTTAGTTAAAGGAACCACATTCGGGACCGGTGGTAATAGCGGTTTTTACAGGTGGAGCCGGGGAACGCATATGCGACGAGTTCAAGTAGTTGTATGCAAAAGAAAAGCTATTGGGAATGCGCGATTGTAATCTGAATGGTTAAGAAATACAGTAGGTGGGCTAACTCATGAAATCTCAACCGAAATTTCAAAATGCGTTTGCGTTTCTAAAAGATTAACTAGGTAGGGTTGTAAAACTAATCATCATGCAGCAGAAATCCATAATAATCCAGTTACTGCAGGGTGCCGGCTTTCGAATGAATTTAATTCCGACTGCATGCAATAACCATATTCTGCAAAAAATGTCTACTTAAGTAGCGTGTATTTTTCCCACTGACTTTCGATGCTCCTAGAAGTCCAATTATAGTTCATGGGAAACATGCATAAAAACATTCACTCTCTGGCTCATTCGGTAGATAATTGCGTCCTCTTCTAATTTTATACTTGGCAGAGGAACTAAATTATGTTTTAAGAAGGTTTTCCAATTCCCGAATAATTTTAAAGCCGCTCTACCGTCACACCTTGGTTCAGGGTTTCCAAACTACAGGCCGTATATTTTCCGCTTACGGAAAACCACACATTTCTCTACGGTAATAAAGGGGAATATTTTGGGGTTCATAAAATTAAGCAGTGGATTTGATCCATATTGTTAACTTTACAAGCTGCATTGGTAAATGCAGATATAGGACGATTTATGAACGGTCATTTCACGGTATTTAAAAGACCCACAATTAGAAAATTTTTTAAAAGCGAATGGTGTCCCACGTTCGAGTGTAAAATTAGAAGACGTATTTTTCTACTGAATGAGCAAAAGAATGAATATTTTTATGCATGTTTTCCATGCAATATAATTAGACATTTAGGGGCATGGAAAATCAATTAGAAAAATTCGTGCTACTAAAGTAGTCATTTTTACAGATTTTATTTTCTATATGCAGCCGATAGGAAGTTCATCCGAACGCGGGCATCCTGAGGTAACTAAGTTTTTAGAGAATTATGCCGCAGGATAATTAGTTTTACAACCCTCCTAAAATATCTTTTCGAGACGAAAAGTCGTTTCGGAATTTCGGTTGCCATTTCGTGGGCTAGCCCACCTACTGTAGTTGCGCTAACCTCTAACCCTAACCATAACTCCTAGCCATAACTCCTAAGCATAACCCCTAACCCTAACCCTTAGTCCCAACCCCAACAGTATTGTGTCCAGCAGGTGGGCTACCAAACCACATCTTACCCAAAATATTTCCAAAATAAGTGGGAAGGAGAAATTTAACCAAACCGTTGTAAAATCATCCAGCAATCGTAATAGTTCAGGGCGATGTTCGTAGAATGGTGCTGTTTATTCGAACACGAACTGCGGTGGAGGGAACTGCATGGATTGTTTATTTAGGCCTAACCTTAAGCGTTACAGTCGAATGACAAGCAGCTGGCACTTTTAAAAATATCAACTCTAGACAATCTTATGAAAGGTCATAATGTCCGCATTATCTAGAGTACAGAGGACAAAAGTAGAATATTAAGCTATTAGAAGGGTCTCGCATTATTAACCGAGAAACGAGACTTTGGTCACTACAACGTAGCTGCAGATGTAACACATTAGGCGACCAGAATTAATGTGCCTAGTTCCACAAACAGATTGTGCAATCTCTTCTAAAGCCTGGCCACCTTAGACGTTTGTAAAGGGGGTCCAATTCTCTGCCGACAAAATTCCTTCAGGCCTAAGGGGCAATCGGAGTAAAATCCGGGATAAATCCTTTACTTGACGAATATTTCACAATAAGGACTTTTTAAACATGCCCTGCATCTCTCAGAACACGCTAACAGGCAAGGTCTTTTGCCCATTAAGATGCCGGTTAATCAAGGCCCGTGCTTTCGAGTTAACTCTGGATGAATACAGGATTGAGATGACTGAACTATAACCTTCGGTATGCGGATTCACATAGACTACCGACCACTACCCACTCGATTCTACCGCGTGCGGAGAGATTCCAGGCAGATTTTCAATCTGATCTGTTTTAATCGCAGCAACCTGCTCAAAAGGGAAAAGCCTCAGAAAGTTGTCAGGTGTTGACATCGCCTCTTAATGTCTTGCGTCAGAAAACCAAATATTGTATTTCACCAGTTCCCTAAATGACAAATCATATAAACCTTTAGGTCACTGTCTCAACTGGTATCAAATTGCACCACTGCCCTCCTTTTATGCGGACGACTTTTCTAAATAGATCGAAATTCTTAGGGTCTTATCGCTCGTGACTTGACAGATAGACTGCCACGAACGACCTCGTCCACCAGGTGCCCCACGGAGCGCACGCAGTACCAATAATTTTGAAACCCACCTGTCCTTACGCTTGCATTCAGGGTTCCCAAACTACAAGCCGTATAATTTTCGCGTACGGAAAACCATACATTTTTCTACGGTGATAAGAGGAGAACATATGGGGTTCAAAAAATCAAGCAGTGGATTTGGACCACATTGTTATCTTTACAAGCCACATGGGTAAATGCAAGGACAGGACGTATTATGAAGGGCCATTTCATGGTATTAGAAAACCGCATAATTAGAAACTTTTTGAAAACCGAATTATACCCTTCGTTCAAGTATAAAATTGAAGGAAGACGTAATTTTCTACTTGATCTGCAAAAGAATGAATATTTCGTTTATGTTTTCTATGAAATATAATCGAATCTTTAAGGGCATCGAAAATCAGTGGAAAAAATGCACGCTACATAAGTAGTCATTTGTTGCAGAGTATGGTTTTTGGATGCAGCCGGAAGAACATTTGTTTGGAAGCCCGCCTCCTGTGGTAACTGCATGATGTGTAGTTTTAAAACCCTACTTAATTAATCTTTTCGAGACGGAAACGCATTTCGGAATTTCTGTTGGGATTTCGTGAGTTAGCCCACCTACTGTATGTATTCAAAATATGTTGTACTATCAAGAATACCTCGCTCTTTAACCATTGTTTTGACAGTGGAATTACTGGTAATCAGCCATTTTTGCAGGGCTCAGCACTGTCTAGTTCCCTCACCGGACTGATTTTTAACAAAAGTGGTCCCGCCTAACAAATCCAGCACATTCTTGTGCGCAACTCTAACCAGAGAAGACGGAAACTGTTCCCATAAAAATTCAAATGCTGTTTGTAGAGCATGAAAGCAGAAATATAAGTTCTCAAGTCGATTTTCCTAATGCCTGTTTTTTTCATCGAGGAAGTCCCCTCAAAATCCTTTTTTTCTGACAGGTAAGCTGACAGTTACATAACAAAACTATAGTTAGTCGTGTCTATTTGAAGCATTGAGCAAACGGGCATTGTCGTTGTTGGCGATGTCACTTTTAGTTAAGTGAAAAGATTGAATTTCTTTGTCCCGCCGAAAAGATTCGACCAAACAAACAAGCATTACCTATTAAAGGTCGACTTAGGGATGGCATCCGCCGATGGCGAGTATTAATCGGTACAAGGAGGAAGTATATGTTCTCAGGAAGGGACGCAAATGTTTTTTGCAGAAAAGGCTCAAAGCTTGTCTTTTGAACAACCGCTATTCCGAAGCAGACCACGAGGTCACTGATCCAGATACTCAAAAAGTAGGTAATTATCAATTCGCATTAAAAAACGATAGACAAATTTTCTAGTGCCTCACAGAAAACTTACTATTCTAAGGAGACAGTCTCACCAAACAAGTCTGTACGGAATCCATTAGATCTAAATAAGTAGGCAATCGGGCGGCTGCATATGTATTCTATGAACACCGAA